GTTGTTGTTGTTGTTTTTGTTGTTGTTGTTGTTGCTGTTGTTGTTTGTTGTTGCCGTCAAAACTTTTTAGTTTTTTTCGAAAAAGGGTTTTTTTGCCTTTCTTTTTTACAGCTTTAATTATATTTTCAAGTGGACTGGCAATCTGTCACCGTTGTTGTTACGTATGTGCTTCTCGCTCAGAGGCACCCACACTGTTAGAGGCAATCCGCAGTTCTGTGCCTAAAATTACCAGTATATTAAATAATGGCTTTAGTTCCAGAAAAAAAAATTAAGATCATATGCAATAAACAATGTGTAACTAATAAATCAATCTAAATCTTTCAAGTTCTTATCAAACAGATTAATCGAGAAGAAATGCTTAACCACAAGCAAGACCAAAAATACCGTTAGCACATAGCAAACAGAAAGCCATTTTTTTTTTATCCATTCATTTACTCATAAATCTTTTCAACAGATAAATTCACTCAAATTTTCTGTTTAAGACGAAAAAATCTTAGGAAAAATTGATATTAAAAACGTTTTAACAACTCATTCAGTTTTTATAAAACAAATTAAACAAATTAAACATGATCCTGATTTTTTTTTTTATTTATAAACTATTGGTAACCAAAACTCATATTCCAACTACATCTGAATTATTTAGTAAGTTTGTACTTACACACATAGCAAAATCAGCTGAGCAAAATTTAGGTACAGTTAATGGCCCTCTAATATAGCATTCTAATCGCCACAAAATGAGTTGCTACGATCAGTGCTGTTGCAAAATTACAACTTAACAGGAAACAAAACTAAAGTTTATAATTAAATTCGAGGAGAAAACCAAAAAAGATCAAAAAGAAAGACGAAGTGTATCACATCATTACACGTTTGAAAAAAAAGCATAAAAACTGGTCAGGTAAATAGATGGCACTCTTGTCGATTGACGGTGTGAATTAGGTGAGAGCACTTTAAAAATACACAAATGGTACATACAGTTCATAATTTCCTTTTTGTTCACTTATTACTTCACTTATCAATGATGTGTTTCATCTATTGAGAGCTTATTGCTTTATCTTTTGTGGAATAGGTGAGAGAACTTTAACAATACTCAAGTGAGGCAACAAATAATTTTGTTTTTTGTACTTATTACTGATAAGAAACGTTCATCATTTTAAATTAGATAAGCGCACGTTAAATACACAAAAATGAAACAACAAATGATTTTGTTGTGAC